AACAGGTAAAAGGAAGCGTTTCCGACCCTATAAAGTATATATATTCCTGATCAGGATGAATAACGAACACGAATGAGACATGTCCGTCCGTCCGTCTGTCCGTCTGTCCGTCTGTCCGTATGAACGCTGAGATCTCAGGAACTATAAGAGATACAAAATTGACATTATTATTAGTATTATTACAGCATCCTGCCACGCCCACAAATCGCAAAAAAAATCTCAGGAACTATTGGAGCTAGAAAGTTGAAATTCCGGCCACACACACCCATATCATCTATAACAGCATACTTGAATTCGTATGTTTTTTTATGATCCCATGCCGTCGGATTCTTGGGGACTCGCCCTAACTCCATAGGCCACCGTCCGCGGCGATTTGTCAGCGTCGAATTGTTCTATATAAGCTACCTATCGATAACAGCCTACTTGGATGCCAGTCCGTATATTTTTTTATGTGTGTGTTGGATCTTTCTGGGGGGACTCGATCCCATGCCGTCGGATTCTTGGGGACTCGCCCTAACTCCCTAGGCCACCGTCCGTGGCGATTTGTCAGCGTCGAATTGTTCTATATAAGCTACCTATCGATAACAGCCTACTTGGATGCCAGTCCGTATATTTTTTTATGTGTGTGTTGGATCTTTCTGGGGGGACTCGATCCCATGCCGCCGGATTCTTGGGGATTCGCCCCCTAACCTAACCCCCTAGGCCACCGTCCGTGGCTCGTGTTCTATATAAGCTATATAACAGCAGCGCAAGTTTATTACAGCATCCTGCCACGCCCACTCTAAGGCCCACAAATCGCAATAAACTAAAATAGCTGAAATCTCAGGAACTATTGAAGCTAGAAAGTTGAAATTCAGTATATATAATCTTTAGATGCCAGCGCATCTTATAGTGGTACTACTATCCGGCCACACCCTCCCATACCCCCACAAGGCTCAAAAGACGGTTTTCGGATTTTCTAAAAAAGCTGATATCTCGGTAACTGTAAGTGATAGAATGTTCGGATTAAGCATGTAGGTTTTTATGATGCTCCCAATGCGAATTGTCACGTCACGTCGATCAAGTCACGTCCACTCTAACGCCCACAAAACCCGAAAAACCAAAAATGAAAAAATCTCGAAAAGAGCTACAAAATTTTGCTTAGGAACACTTACTTGCCACGAAGTTGCATCAGGCCACGCCCACTCTAACGCCCACAAATCGCGGAAAACTGTGGCGTCTATTATATTACTATGAATGCCTTCGTTTGACCTTGAATAACTTATTTCTTTTAATATCTATCGATTTACCAAAGATTTTTCAAATCGGAAAATTATTTAGCTATTTATAAAGAAATTAAGGTTATAAGGCCTCACATGGGCAGTGACGTCACTATAAGCATACTCAACATACTTCCTCTGACAATAGGTGGCGCCTTGTGAATTTCCACTAGCAAAATAATATTTTAAAATTTTGTAAAACAGTAACGGGTATCTTATAGTCGCGGCACTCGACTACAGCGTTTCCTCTTGTTTTTTACTAAAATCAGCGCAGTTGCTAGCAACGTATCTTGCCCTCTGTGCTGGTTCTCAGTCTCCGCAACTATTTTAGAACCCGATACCTTGGGGTTTTCCTTTAATTTTCGGACAATACGTCTCTCCTCGTGGTCATTAAAAATTGTGTTCGGAGCTTCACGGCCCTTATCTGCCACCCGATTTTCGCAAAAAAGCGTTTGGGTTATGTATGGGTTTGCACTAGGGCTTGAGGCAACCATTTCGTGGGTTTTCCCATCCTTAAAATGTTTAAGGACTAATTCGCTTTGCTCAATAACTATTGAATATTATTCGTGGCGCCACAGTTTGAAAATCCTCGTTAATCCGTAATTTTTGGGTGCCCCCAGCCTCGAAAACTTATAAATATGCTTTTGCTAATATATTTTTACTAGTATTAAGAAAAAAAATTGATTTAAAAGTCCTAGTTTAGAGTTATTAACCGTTAAAGTGCTTGTTTTTTAAATTAGTAAAAACTTTTGTTATTATTTTAATAATATGCGACATTCTTAACATTACTGCGTTTAAATTTTTTTGATATCTCTGCTGGTTTAGTAGCAGTATCAAATTAAAAATTCGATTTTTTCTTGCACGAAATAAGCTTGGATCCACTGTATATGTTAGATTAGGGTTAAGGTTTTCCATATTCGAAAATCGCAGATTGCTTATGGCGTATAGACTAGAGGTGGAGAAACATCGATGCGAACATCGATGACATTGATGTTTTCGAAACATCGGCAACATCGATGCTTACAGGAGGAACATCGATGTTTTTCCTTTTCTAAGGCACATTGATTAATTGACGAATTGTAAGTACATATATCACTAAATTAAATGGCGACGCTTTTAAAACGTTAGCTTAATAATACTTCTGCGATCCGGCATCTTCGTTCGAATCTGAAAGAGTTTTCAGTAAAGCTGGACAACTTATAAATGAAAGTTGTACGCGGCTATCATCGACCGATGTCGATAAGCTCCTCTTTTTAAACTAAAACAAACATGTAAGTAAGATGCAAATATACATATGTATATAGTACAGTTTGGGATAGTAAGTATAGTAGGGATATCACAATATCCAAAAGAACTATTATTTTCTTTGGACCATGTATATATTGAAACATTGATATAAAATTTGTTTTTTTTTTGTTATGATTTACAAACTAAGAATATGACAATATGCCAAAGAAGTAGAACATGAATATCATGAACAATTTTATTTTAATTTGTTTTTCTTTTCGTTTTTATTTAATAAGTGATTAATAAATTGGATATTTTTTGTTGAAAATTTGACTTTTAATTTTTAAACATTACAAATTAAAATAAAGTTCAAATACATTAAAATAACTGCACACTTTTTTTTATTTAAAACATCTATGTTTCATCGATGTTTTCGGCAAAAACATCGATGTCTGAGAACATCGATGTTTCTCCACCTCTAGTATAGACTTGATCACACCACTGCCAACTTGAGAGTCCTCGCCAGCATTTAAGCATACCGAAAATGCTTTCCAGAAAATGCTACCAACGAATATAATGGTAAATCTGTCTCTCGCAGTGGTTCAAGCTTACACGCAACATCCCTCTCTCATATTCGCATCGAACGAACTTGACCATCTGGCGAATAGATGGAACAAAGCGTACTAACGAACAACCGTTAGAGTGCAGAGACGAGAAGTGTCACTTGGCACATTCTTTTACACTGACCATCATAATTTAGAATCCGACATTTATATGATTTACAAAGTTTTTATTTGCCTTTTACATTGTGAATTACTTTTACTTGAACAACCTTTTTCATTTAAATGTGTCAAGTATAATAATTACGAAATAGTTAAGAGTGCTTAGGAATGGCATTGTCGATGGCTGTCACGATATACGGAAAAAAGTGAGGAGGGCAGAGAGGGCATCTGAAGGGCCACCCATATCCTCCTTGGGCCGAAACACCATCGACTTTTTGGGATGTTTGATCCTTATACCTCCTTATAAAATTATCAGCATTAAGTCTTTCCTCAGTTGTTAGCTCCAGCTTATTATTGTATTTCTCATAGTAATCAACAAGGGCAGGCACATTGCGGGCCCTAGTGGATGTATCGGTCGAAGGGTTGCCAAACACGGCGATGAGTCCACGCCCCTTAGTCACGAATTCATCATCACCTTGGCAGCGTCCTGTTCCCAGGAGACATCCAACGACAACAAAAAGGCAGCTACAAATATTTAATATTTCATTTTTTGCCTTTGACTTACATTTTTGTCACAGCTTACCTAAATTGCAGTGCGGAATTCATCTTAGACGTTGATGTTACTTCTCGAACTAATCGATTGAAACTTATAATTGGTGGACTCCACACTTCTGTATTTATAGCTGATTTCAGTCTGAAAATCTGCTGTGTTATCAAATTATAATAATCACCTATACGTATGATCAGTCCATGAAAATAGCTGACTTATCAATATCGACGTGTAACGTAAAAAGGGGCTTGTAATTAATGTAAACATCGACATGGGAGAAAAATGCAAATGTTATTGATAATAAAATAGTTATTCTCGGAAATATATTGATAAGCGAATTCTTAGTTATTAGAATAAAATGATTTTTAATTATTGAATTCGTTTTAAATTACAGATGTATAAAATTACATTTGATTATATGGTAAGGTAAAGATATATAATTAGTCTCATAAATCCATCATTTATATTCCCAATATCTAACTTGTTTTGTAAAAATTTTAAAAATATTTTCATATTTAGTTACTTTTACTGGCTTAGTGATATATCGATAACAGCCTACTTGGATGCTAATCCGTATATTTTTTTTATGTATGTGTTTGGATCTTTCTGGGGGGACTCGATCCCATGCTGTCGGATTCCTAGGCCCAGTCCGTCCGTGGCCGAATTGTTCTATATAAGCGCTGCCTATCGATAACAGCCTACTTTGATGCTTATCCGTATATTTTTTTTAATGTGTGTGTTTGGATCTTTCTGGGGGGACATTATCCCATGCCGTCGGATTTTTGGGGATTCGCCCCCTAACCCCGTAAGCCACCGTCCGTGGCGATTTGTCAGCGTCGAATTGTTATATATCAGTTACCTATCGATAACATCCTACTTTGATGATTATCCGTATGTTTTTTTTATGTGTGTGTGTGTTGGATGTTTGGATCTTTCTTGGGGGACTCGATCCCATGCCGTCGGATTTTCGGGGATTCGGCCCCTAACCCCGTAAGCCTCCGTCCGTGGCGATTTGTCAGCGTCGAAGTGTTATATATCAGTTACCTATCGATAACAGCCTACTTTGATGCTTATCCGTATATTTTTTTTATGTGTGTGTGTGTTGGATCTTTAAATCTTTCTGGGGGGACTCGATCCCATGCCGCTGGAATCTTGGGGATTCGCCCTAACCCTCTACTAAAGCCACCGTCCGTGGCGATTTGTCAGCGTCGAATTGTTCTATATAAGCTACCTATCGATAACAGCCTACTTTGATGCTTATGCGTATATTTTTTTAAGTGTGTGAGTTGGATCTTTTTGGGGGACTCGATCCCATATGTCGCTGGATTCTTGGGGACTCGCCTCAACCCCCTAAAGCCACCGTCCGCGGCGATTTGTCAGCGTCGACTTGTTGTTCTACCTATCGATAACAGCCTACTTTGATGCCAGTCCGTATATTTTTTTATGCGTGTGTGTGTTGGATCTTTCTGGGGGGAATCGAAATTAAGATTAACCATGAAGATTCTTGAGGTCCCTACGCAGCGCAAGTTTATTACAGCATCCTGCCACGCCCACTCTAACGCCCACAGATCGCAAAAAACTAAAATAGCTGAAATCTTAGGAAATATTGGAGCTAGATAGTTGAAATTCAGTATGTATAATCTTTAGATGCCAGCGCATCTTGTAGTGGTACTACTATCTGGCCACATCCACCCATACGCCAACAAGGCTCAAAAGACGGTTTTCGGATTTTCTAGAAAAGCTGATATTTTGGTAACTATAAGAGATAGAAAGTTCGGATTAAGCATGTAGGTTTTTATGATGCCCCAAATGCGAATTGTTATTTCGATCAAGCCACGCCCACTCTAACGCCAACAAAACCCGAAAAACCAAAAACGCAAAAATCTCGAAAACTATAAGAGCTACAAAATTTTGCTTAGGAACACTTATTTAAGAGGTGCCTCTGCAACTTGCTACGAAGTTGCATCCGGCCACGCCCACTCTAACGGCCACAAACCGCGGAAAACTGTTGCCTCTAAAATAATATTATGAATGCCTTCGTTTGACCTTGTATATCTTATTTATTTATTTAGGTGGCGCTTGGGTAATTTAAACTAGCAAAATAAATATTTTAAAATTTTGTAAAACAGTAACGGGTATCTTATAGTCGCGGCACTCGACTACAGCGTTTCCTCTTGTTTCCTCATGGAGTAAGTTATTATGGGCACTGGAGCATCGTGTCCAATTTTGATTGCATAAAACGGCATCTTTTATGGCTCGTTTTCTTTGCTTCTACATAAATAACACTTTTTTGCACTGAATCTATTGAGTTGAACAATCGCTCAATAAATTCCAGCACATTATAAAACTCCCGAATTTCCCTGGCCTTCTTCACATGTTGCTCGTAAAGTTGTGGGGCTTGTTGAGAAAATTTGCGCTGCAATATCTGTGCGATTATGGCATCAGCTTCTTTGCCCATTTGACGTTTTTCTTTGATTATATTAATACACTCTGTTACTGTGTCCAGGAATTTTCGGATACTGCATTCATCATTGTTCTTCAGCAGTTCCATGTCCAACAGTTGGCTGACGCGGCCAGCAAATATTTTGCGCTTGTTTTCGTAGCGCTTGCATATTAGCTCCCATGTTTTAGCTGGCAGCTGATCCATTTAGCAAATGTCCGACTAACATTTTGGCTTCTCCTTTTAGGCATGATTTTAGTTAATTCAGTTTCCTTGTGGCACTGATGTCTTTCCTGCTATTAATCACCTCGGAAAATAATTCAAAGAATGTGGCCCACTTTTTTCGGTTTCCATTAAATTGAGGAAGATCCGTAATATCTTTTTTTATGATGCTCAAGTCGCTTATTTTTCTATCAATTTTCTTAGATAGCCAGCTTTCTAATTCATTGATCGTGTCGATGTCAAAGGCACATGATTCATATTTTGCCTCTAATTATGAAAGTGTGGTCTGTACCTTTGACCAAAGGAAGTTCATCTTGTCCTTGTGATCAAGGATCCCTTCCATGTTGCTGCGCTCCAGGTCGGCATACACTTCTTTTATGTATTCCCTAACCTTCTCGGCTCTTTTGTCCTCGAGTTCCACCTTCTATTTGATGTATCTTCTTTTGAGGCCCCTGCTTTTGATGTACTTGCCATGGCGTGATCGCCTTTCATCAGAGGCTCTTTATATTTCTTCATGAGTACCATGGTGGTGTCATATATTTTGTCACTAAAATGACAATTATTAAATTAATGACGCCAATTTTGGTCAGCATTGTGTGATCGCAGTGAATTTTGCTGCTGAATCATCTATAGCTAATGGGTTTGCCTTATTGGCTATCCCTTGCAAAATCTCCTTACGAAGCACCACTTGCCTCTACAGCATTATTTTACTTTATTTGGCTTAACCCGATTGGAGGTATTTTTGGTTCGATCTTGGTTTCGTGCTGTGCCTCGACTAACAACTTGTTGTGGTTAGCCAAAGAATGAAAAAAAAAAAATTTCACAAATTTTTTCTATTTTCACTTTTTGCTTTCTGCTGTTTAAAGCCACAAAAACGAGAATATAGACCAACATGCTTTCACCATTACGTGGAGAACATTCTATATTTATAGATCGATTTTCCATATTCAAGACACTAAAATATGCTTAATATGCTTCAGTGTGGCAGCTCCAAAATACTTCCTCTTCCTAGAAAAACCAAACCAAAAACTTCTCCATCTATCACCTTGTGCGAGCCACCAACGCTTCAGAAAGTAGTCAAAAGGTATAACTTCACTTTTGACAATAACCTAAAACTTGCTGCATTTATTAAAATCAGAATGGCTTTACCTATTCAGATTGTGAAATAAGAGCAAATGAACACAAATATTGCAAGTGGGAAAGCTATTATAAAGAAGCATTATAAAAATTTTAACTTCGATAGAACTTAATTTGTTTATTATTTATTATTAATATTTATCCATACTAAATTAATTAAAAGGGTTAAGAACGCAATGATAATGTTATTCATAATAAACCTTTCTTCTGTTTTAATGTTATTCATAATAACCCTTTCTTCTGTTTTTAAAGCTCCTATTTAAACTTAATTTTTCAAAAATCTGTTCTTGTGGTCGATATTTTAATATCAATTCAGTTATGAAAGATGCACTTATATTTAGTGCTAAGCGATTAAAAAACAGTTTATCCTTGCAAGCTTAAGATTTTTATTATTATTTCTTCCAAAAAATCAGGTAAATTGTACATGTGATCTAATGAAAAACCGTTTGTTTTATTAAGCTTTTACATTTTATAATAACTTTCACTTGAACATCCTTTTTTATTTAAATATCTTCATTTAAATGTTCCAAGTAGTTAGAAAATGGTTATGCAGAAGCAATCGCCTTGCCGACTGCTATCACAACCTCAGCAGCAATGGGAGCCAAAAAGGGCAACCAGAATCCTCCTTGGGCCGAAACACCGTCGACTTTCTGGGATGTTTGATCCTTATACCTCCTCACAAAGTTATCAGCATTATGTCGATCCTCAGTGGTTAGATCCAGCTTACTAGAGTATTTCTCATAGTAGTCTACAAATGCAGGCACATTGCGGGCCCTAGTGGATGTGTCAGCCGGAGGGTTGCCAAACACCGCGATGAGTCCACGACCCTTAGTCACGAATTCATCATCACCTTGGCAGTGTCCTGTGCCCAGGAGACATCCAACGACAACCAAAAGGCAGCTACAAATATTAAATATTTCCATTTTTTTGGCTTTGACTTACATTTTTGTCACAGCTTACCTAAATAGCAATGCGGAATTCATCTTAGACGGTGATGTTACTCCTCGAACTGATCGATTGAAACTTATAATTGGTGCACTCCATACTTCTGTATTTATAGCTGATTTCAGTCTGAAAATCTGCTGTGTTTTCATATTGGGATTATCAGCTATACGTATGCTCAATCCATGGAAATAGCTGAGTTATCAATATCGCCGTGTAACGTAAAAAGGGGGCTTGTAATTGATGTAATTGATAATATAATATATATTCTTGGAAAAATATTGATAAGCGAATCTTTAGTTATTAGAATAAAATGATTTTTAA